TCACCAGGATGGCTATTAGGAGCCCTAGTAGGGCAGTGGTTGAAGTGTTTGGCTGACAACTGAAAGGCTGGCAGTTTGAACCCACCAGCCACCGCACAGGAAAAAGACGTGGCAATCTGCTTCTGTAAAGATTTATTGCTTTGCACACCATATGGGGCAGTTCTCTGTCCTACAAGGCCACTTTTAGTCAGAATGGGCTTGACAGCAATGCACTGGGTTGGGATGGCTATAATTGAAAAGATGGGTAAGAACAAGTGTTGGAGACGATGTGGAGAAGTCAGAATCCTCATTCATTGCTGGTGGGACTATAAAATGGTGCACTCATTTTGGAAAACAGTTCGACAGCTCCTCAAAATGTTAACCATAAAGTTACCATATGGCCCAGAAATTCCACTTACAATGTTTTTACTCAATAGAAATGAAAACATATGTCTACACAAATAGTGACACATGCAAGCTCATACGAACATTAATCATACCAGCCAAAAAGTAGAAATAATCCAAATGTCCACTAACTGATGAATGTACAAACAAAATGTATACAATGGAATATATTTTAACCTAAAAAAGAATGACGTGGGAAGGAACACTGCAAAAATTAAAAAAAAAAATAATAAAATAAAAAATAAAACATGTTAAGTGAAAGAAGCTAGAAACAAAAGGCCACATTTTATATGAAATATCCAGAGCAGAAAATTCCACAGAAACAGAAAGTAGATTAGTTGGCTAGGGCTGAGGGTGAGAATCAGCAATAGAGAGTAGCTGCTAGTGAGTATGGGGTTTCTTTTTAGGGTGATAAAAATGTTTTAAACTTAGATTGGTTGCAAAATTCTTGAGAATGCTAACAACAACAACAACAACAACAACAAAAACTGAATTGTACATTTTAATTGGGTGAATATTATGGTATGTGAATTATATCTCAATAAAAAGTGTTTAATAAAACCAACTCAGTACAGGGACCAAAACTAGCTCATTTTTGCATTTTGCCTAGCACAAAAAAGCTGCTCACTAGAAGTCTAAAGAACAAAGAGAGCTCTGCTTTTTTGGGATACCTGGGCTTTTAGAAAGGAATCCTGATGGCTTATAGGTTAAGTGCTTCGCTGCTAACTGAAAGGTCAGCTGTTCAAACTCACCAGCTGCTCCATGGGAGAAAGATGAGGTAGTCTGCTTCCATAAAGATTTACAGTGTTGGAAATGCTCTGGGCAGTTCTACTCACAATGAGTCGGAGTTGACTCATGGCAGTGGGTTTCATTTGGACTTTGGGGATGGTTCTGGACCTAGAACAACTTGGGTGACTGTTTCAACAATGAATGAATATGGCTAAGAAGACTTGAACACATTCTGAAGGTTAGCTTCCCTTATTAAAAAAAAGGGAAAATACTGCTCCCACTGGCAGGTCTTGTTTATAATGATCAACACCCCACAGGAAGAAGACAAAAGAAAAACAAAACAAAACAAAACATGGTATTATGTGTCCTTTCAGAAATTTTTAAATTCAATAATTCTTAACTTAGTCTTCCACAAATTTCCTAAAATCATGTTCAATTTTAAATTCAACTGCATTCAAAACTATGGGCGGGGGGTGGGAGGGAAATATATTTTGTATGTATACCCTTTTGTGCTAGTAAACTCATCATGTACATGGTTTGCTTTTTCAACTAAAACAACTTAAAAAGAAATTAGGCTGGTGTCCAGGGCAAGACTAGATCCTAGTTTTAGCCTAGGGAATGAAAGCCCCCTGTCCAAATTACCTATCCTACTTTTTCTGAAATACTTCCATCAAGAAACAAAGATTTTCATTTCAAAGGGCAAAAATCCTTAAATGTGTAAATATAACTTAAATCATTGATATCAATGAATATCAGCCTAAATATGAACTGATAACGGACCTTTTTCTATCTTTACAAAGGTTATAAGGCAAGCAAACAACAAATCTCAGAAGGGGAAAAGCAAAAATGAGCAGGAAGAAGACTGAGCAGGCTGTATCTTGATTTGCTTATTTCACAATTGCTTCCAGTTTGCTCTCACTCAAGGACACAAAAAACAAACAGCTGTTCAAAGAGATTTCAGATTCCTCGCTGATACTTTATCAGGAACTCTGGCCACAAGCAACTTACGAGTTCATAAATACTCTCTGAGGCACAGTGAAATAGATCCAAGTTGGGTTTTTCTTCTTAGTTGAAGTTAAAGCTTCTGCAAAGTTAGATGTTTCTCTTTTTTGTCAAGGATAAACACAAGAACTAATAATGAAGCCACGTGAAACATTCACACTTACTTGCAAAATATATGATCACATTTTGTGGAAACAGGCTCTTTGATTAACTCCAGACTAGAGGAATAGGGAGAAAAAACACAACAAACAGAAGACCAAAAAACAAGAGAGAGAGAGAAATAAATAATCTAAAATAATAAAACAAATAAGGCAACAATTTATTTAAAAATAAACATATATAGTAAAGAAGCTCAACTTTAAGCTGCTAGAATTAACTCAAGGCAAGGCTTTAAGTCCACTGAATACTTATTAAATGTGTATGGCGGTAGATGACACAAATACAGCAGAAACTATGATCCTTACTGCCAATGAACTTGAAGACATCAAAACACAATTACACTGATCTTTTCAATACTCTCAATTTAGCATTTTAAAATTAGTTGTTAATACTTCATATTATTTAGTTTTCACAGATAACACTTTTTTGAGCTATCATTGTGAATATAAATCCTGTTTCTTAACTAAACTCTAAGCTCTGTAAAGACAAAAACTTCTGTTTGCATTTCTTTTGGATTCCCTCACAGCATTTTTTTAAAAAAAAATATTTTTTTTGTGTGTGTGTGTGCATGGTAAATATATACATATTTACCACTTCAATAATCTTCACATGTACAGTGGTGTAGTGCCTAAGGCATTTGACTGCTAACTAGAAGGCTGGAAGTTCAAACCCACCAGCCACTCCTCAGAAGGAAGGTTGGACAATCAACTTCCGTAGTGATACCACTTCGGAAACCCAAGGAGTAGTCGCTATGAGTTGGATCTGACTTGACGGCAGTGCGTTGCGTTTGTGTTGTTGCCTCTTTACTTTTAATTTAATATGGAAGATTGCAAGCATTAAACAAGTAGAATGGTAAAATGAACTCATCTATTATGACCCAACTTCAATTACCAACTTATGGCCAATCTTATTTCATTTATACCCACTCTCCCACTCCAGACTATTTTAACACAAATCCTAGTTATCATTCCATCCATAAATATTTCTGAATATATCTTTAAAGATATAGCATAACTATGAAACCATTATTATTCCTTAAAAAATGAAGTTTCCTTATCATCTAATACACGATTAATGCTCCAATTTTTAATTGCCTCTTAATTTTAAACAGTTAAACTGTTCAAATCAGGACCCAAATAAGGCATACACATTGCATTTGGTTGCTATGACTCAAGTCTCTCTTAATCTATAGATTTCCCCTCCTTTTCCTCCCTTGTCATTTATTTAAGAAACTAGGTCATTTAACTTGTAGTATTTTCCACATTCTGGATTCTGCCAATTATAACCCCATGGTAGGAGTTCCTGGATGGCACAAATGGTTTCATTCTCTACTACCAATGGAAAGGTTGGCGGTTCTAACCCACCCAGAGGTTCCTCAGGAGAAAGGCCTGGAGATCTACTTCCAAAAGTTCACAGCCTTGAAAACCCTATGTAGCAGTTCTACTCTGTACACATGCAGCCACCATTTGTCATTTAATATGTCCCTCCAGCCTCTTTATTCCCTGTATGTTAAACCAATTTTGATCAAATTCAAGTTCAATTTTTTGGCAAGAACACTTTACAGGTGTAAAGTGTACTTTTATTGCATCATTTCAAGAGGTACATGTCTGCTTTGTGATTACTTCTTAAAAACAAAGTAATAAAACACTCACTATAGAATATTTAGAAAGTAATAAACTTTAGAAAAGTATAAAAATTTTGAGAAAACATGTTATGAGACAAAATATGTATGAACTGCTATATGGAAAATGAATTTGCTCTGTAAACTTTCACCCAAATCATACAAAAATAATTTAAAAAAATTTTTTTTTTTTGAGAAAACACAAAAGAAAAAGAAAAATCCCTACCTGTCCATTCACAGAATCTCCAGGCCTTCCTGAGGGTCATTAATTTACTCATTTAACAAGTATTTATAGAGCCGCTATTACATGCAGGCACTGTTCTTGTGGCTGGAAATACAGCTGTGAACAAAATGAAGTCCCTTCATAGAGCTTAGCTGTGATAGGCAGTTGGTAGAAAAATGAAGATATGGGAATAAGTGCTGGAGGGAAATATAATAAAGCAGGGTAAGGAGGACAAGGAGTGCAGAGTGGGTGTGAGTGTTTATATCCTACATGGGGTGGTCAGGAAAGGCCTCACTGAGGTGACAGAGGACAGGTGAATAATGTAAGGAAAGAAGCCCTGCAATGTTACAAGAACATTCCAATAGAGGAAGGAGAGAAGACAAAGATTCTGAGCAGGATTATCTGAGGAATAGTGAGGAGGTTAGCATTTAGGATGGAATGATCAAGGGGAAAAGGAGCAGATGAGGAAGCTGGAGAGGCAGCTGCGGGCCTAAGTAGGCAGGAACCTGTAAACCTTTACCTTTTATTTGGAATGAGTTTTAGAAATTGATTTCTGGTAAAATCCAGGCAGGACAGCAAAGAACAGGCAAAGGGGTAGGTGACAGGAATGTGTTCTTTTCATTAAATGTTTAACTTTTTTGAAAAGGATCACAAGAAAAGCTGGGAGACAATGGCTTCATTGTGAAAGGTTTGGTAACACAACTCTTAATCATGGGGTTTCTGACCTAGTACAGGGCAATTTAAAAAAAAAAAAAAAAAAAGAGTAAGAAAGCTGGGTTTCTGCTACCAATTTTTTTCTTTCTTAGCAAAGTGATTATTCTGGTTACCTCTTTGCTGCTCTGAGAGAAATATACCACAAATGTGATGGCTTGAACAAATAGGAGTTTGTTCTCTTATAGTTCAGGAAGCTAGAAGTCCAAGTTCAAAGTGGCAGGCTCTAGGGGCTGTGTGGAAGCCCCTTGACCTCCAGCTTCTGCTCTGCCTCTTGCTCCTGGCCCACTCTTCACTCAGGCAGCTACTGGCTGCTGGGGCTGACAAGCCCAAGGTCAACAAATAAAATGGCACAGTCCCGATGTTACCAAACCACACAGTAGGCCATTGATTCAAGTCCATTGAAAGTCCCAGGATTGGCAGAGCATGGCAGACTGCTGAACGACTCCGCTACATGCAGGGTTCAAGCATGCCAGAAGCTAGGGACCATTCTCAAAGCCGTTTCTTATATATGGGAAGCAGACCGCATACCCAAAGCAGCTACTCAGCAGCTCCAATAGAGTCCATCATGGAGTTAATTACTAATCTCACCATGGGGAATAACTACATTCAGCTGCCCAGCCACTCAACCAGGCCCAGGCAAGTTGACACATAAACTTAACCACCACAGTAACCTTTTGGCCAACCACTCTACCTAAATTTCAGTTTCCTTTTCTGTCACCTGCCCTGCCAGTTACTTCAGACTATTATGAGGACCAAATTATGTGCTACTTAGGAAAATACTCCACAATCGAAAGTGCTTTGTATAAATGTTTTTATTATTACTTGAATCAAATGATTTTGATTTTAAAAAGAAAAGATTTTAAAAAGAAAAACAATGCCAGCAAGGAGAGCTCTAATTTGTTACTAAGTCACTATTCCTGAGATAAGCTATCACAGAAATTCTCAGTAAAAGAGAAATTGGATGTAGCTACCATACCAGATGGCTTTTATTCTCACCAATGACTCAATTCTGAAATAATTATATTTCAGTATGGTAATTATAATCCAAGCTATACAAACATACCGTAAGTACAAACTTTGCACAGATGAAAACCCCAATATGTAAAAAGGTAATGACTGTTGCAGGAAAAGCTTGAAGAGAGAATAGAAGTGAAAAGAAAAAAAAAAAAAATGAAAACGATCCTCTTCTAGGTGCTGATGAGCAAATGTTTACTATGAAAGTGATTCAGATATTTTAAATACTTTTCAAGCCAGGCAATATTTTATGCCTACTATGTATTTGCATTTTGAGCTTTCAGCATAAGTAAGTGAATGAAAAATGATAGTAGGTTCAGTTAGAGAAAAACAACCATCAACTAGGGTACACATTTTAGCAAATTCTTCTGAAAGTCAAAATGGTTTTATAGCCATGTAAAAAATGTAAAAAGAACTACCACTTACTAAATTCCCAAGAAGGGATTTTAGAGGCCATAAGGAATTTTAACTCAAGTGTAAGGTTTAAAAGGATCCGTGGGTGGTACAAACAGTTAAGTGCTTGACTACTGGCCAAAAGTTTAGAGGTTCAAACCCACTCAGAAGCACCTGGAAGACAGACCCGACAATTTGTTTCCAAAAGGTCATAGCCTTGAAAACCTTATGCAGCAGTTCTGCTCTGCACCCATGAGGTCTCCATGAGTTGGAATCACCTCAGTGGCAAATAACAACAATTAGGTTTAAAAAGGACTAGGATGAATAGTTTCCGAAGCCTAAATCAATTTCTAATGGAAAATGAGTAAAATCAATAAGCTGGCAAACACACAACAGTTGATTGAAAATGAAAATTGGGCATTAACTTTCATTCTTGCATCCTTAATTTTTATGTATCTGAGTTTTTTAATTGATGGTTTAATTTGCCAGAATGAGAAAGAACATTACATTTTTATGACTTAGTCCCATGGAAATGTAAAATAAATGGACCCAAATGCCACACTATGGAGAACTTTTGATCACTCTTCGTAATTATCATGAGGATTCTGCAGTAAGTTGGCTTTTCCAAAAGCCATTTTTCCCCCAAATTGTCATTTCCTGCTTCCTTGGCTCTGATGCTTCATAAATTAGGCTGTAAATCTCACTTAGCTCTTATGTTTTTGTTTAATTGAGATGTTGAGGGGCAAGGGAGAGGAGGGCTACTTATAAATCTTGCCTCTCTCTGAAAATACAAAACATGCATTTTCCTTGATCTCATTTACTTGACTCCATCGATGACAAATAACTTTCATGAAACACAAAGGAAAATATACATGAATTCACTTTCCTTCTTTGAGTAGGTACAGTTTTGCTTTTTTTCCCCCAAATTTTATTTATTTATTTTTTGTTGAGGATAATACAGCAAAACATACACCAACTCAGTAGTTACTACATGTGCACAATTCAGCGATATTGATTATATTCTTGGAGTTATGCAACCATTCTCATCTTCCTTTTCTGAGGTGTTCCTCCCTCATTAACATAAACTCACTGCC